AACCCTCAACCCCCAAACCCCTTAACCCTAAACCCTTGATAAGGAACCCTAAACCCTAAACCCTAAACCCCTTGATAAGGAACCCTAGGGTCTAGGTAGGGTCCCCTAGCTCTACCTCCTCCAAGAAGCCAGCTGCCACTGCTCGCCGCGCTGCAGTGCGGTGATCAAAACACCGTAGCCTTGGCTGCTCTTTCCCATGCAGCCACTCCTTTTGGGTTTGGGGTTTCGGGCAGTAGGCACATATGAAGATTGGCTGGGCTTTCTCGGGGTTTGAAATGAGTGAGATTAAGTTTCACCATCTGTCAATCAAGATGGCCTTGAATCTAAACCCATCTGAAACCAAGTAGCTGACCACGCTAGGTGTGGCGCGGTCTCCTCGCAGAAACTATGATGCTTGCGGGTAGTATTTAGAGAGTTTTTGTCCACTTCCTTCTTGGTTGCCGAGTTCAAAAATTCAAGCAGGTTACACTTTCATGGTTTACGAAGTTAATTCTCCTCTACATCAAAGTTTACTAGCTCGATCTAGTTCGGCTACTCAAATTGAGAGAGCACGTTGGCATGAGCTTCTTTCAAGTCCTTGCCCTGCTTCGTGTGTTCCACCTCTATCAGCCTCCAATTCTCGAATGTCAGCCCAACAGTTGAAAACCTAAAATGTAGGGGCCTTCGTAGTTACAATAGGGTTTTTGGGTATACTATACTATAATTATTAAGAATGTAGGGGCCTTCGTAATTACAGTAAGGTTTTTGGGTATACTATACTATAATTATAACATTAAGGAATCCCCCCAAAAAAATAAAAAGTATGAGTAATGACTTAGGCCCCTATATTCGCCTCAAGCCTGAGAGACATGTATAAGGAATGGGGTTGTCCTTCATCCGGTTGCCAGCTTTTTGAGGTTCACCCTAAGCTTACTACAGATGACTAAAGATGAGCCGGGATATAGAGGCATTAAGACAAGAGTTAAAGGATACTTCTTTGCTACTAAGGCTCTTCTAAACCCTAAACTGCTACTAAGATTTGAAAGCTCTGGCCTTTCACCACGCCAAAGATAGATGCTAAGTGCTAAGATCATTATTGTAAGTGCTGATGCCCCAAAATCATAAAGACCCTATGGTCCTTAGTGGTGTAGAAGGTAGTTGGGGGGGGGTCTAGCTGCACTCCAAGCCTTATACACCCGTCAGCAAACTCTATTAACACCCCTTCTACCATGACCCTAGACCCCAAGGCCTGAACCCCTCAGCAAACATACAATACTCTTTTATTACAGTTACTATAGCAGTGTGCAAGAACACACTTTTGCTCAAAAGAGCCCCCTGAACCCTACACCCAAAACCCCTAAGCCCTAAACTTCCAAAAACCTAAACCCCTATACCGCAAACCCCAAACCCAAAACCCTAGACCCAAAACCCTTTAAAAACTAAAGCCTAAGCCCTACCCCAAACCCAAAACCCAAAACCCCAAACCCCCAAGCCCTAAACCCAAACACCCTACACGATGAAAGCACTCAAAGCTTGTCTCTCGCGGCTCCTGACATCGATGCAAACAGCCCAAGAGCCAACTGCCACTCTGAGGCCTTCTGGCACGCCTAAGTAAGGGTGTAGGGTGGTTTAGGGTTTGGGGTATAGGGTTTGCGGCCTTAATAATTAGAATAGGGTTTCATAGGGTTCCTTTAAAGCGTTCCTTAAAGGCCTCTATAAGGGCTACTTTGAGGGTTTCGGGTTTAGGGGCCTTAACTACTTAGAATAGGGTTTGGGGGGGTATAGTAACTACACCATAGTTATAACAAGGAGCCCCCCAATGTAGTATTGACGATATAAATCCAGCATTACCTTAAGGACCCTAAACTATGGGAATTATGGTCTATTCCATATTATGGATAATGCAGGATCTATATCATCAACAGTAGTATTGCGAATTGTTTGGGATCTTAGATTTGGGAACTCACGGGTTGACGGTTCCGAGTCTAAGGTTTACAGGTTAGGATCTTTAAAGAAAGGGTCCTTGGGTTTAGGAGTTAGAGGTGTAGAGTTTAAGGCTTAGGTCTAGAGTTTAGAGCTCAGGGATTAGAGTTTAGGGCTCAGGGCTTTAGGGTTTCGGGTTTGGGGTTTAAGGTTCCGGGTCTATGAAAGGGATTCTTTAAAGGACCTGTAAGGGTTTCTCTTGGGGTTTAGGGGATGGGGTTTAGGGTTCTAGTCCTCTGTGAGGAACTCATGGGTTCGAGGTTCTTTTTGACAGTGTGATGCTCCCTTTTTCAGACGTATTTTCGGTTCAGAAACTAGGGTTTGGGGTTCGGGGCTTCGGGGTTTACGGTGAAGGTTTTAAAGTTCAAGACATGAATGAAGGGCGGTTTAGGGTGTTACGTACTAAGCACTGGCTAGTCATACACGTGAGGGCTTTAACCATCAGGTGCTTGGATTTAGGATCGAGTAGTATACAACGACGATTTGTGGGGGGAGGTGTGATGCCCAAAGAGTCCGTATGTACGACCATGATGGAAATAAGTCACCAAGACTATAATAAGGATGGTCTTTTGGGACCTAAACCCTGTAACTCTAGACCCTAATTCCATAAAGGTCGTATCTGTATATAATTTTATATATATATATACACACGTGGACCCAGGGATGATTGGGTACATGGACCCAGAGGCTACCATGCATCAAGACTGCTGTCAGAAACACATAATACACTATAATGGACCAGAGTGGAATCTGCAATCAAGCAAGCTTAGCAAGACCTCGAATGTTTACAGATAGCCCTCATTATGACCTAAACCCTAAACCCGAAACCCCAAAGCCCTAAACTCTAAACCCCTAAACCTAAACCTTAAACCCGAAACCTGAAACCGTAAACCCCTAACTCTACACTCTCAACCTGTAAACCCTAGACCGTAAACCCTAAACACCAAACTCAAGCCCCTAAACGCCTAAACCCTAAACCCTTACCCGCCCAGAAGCATTCAAGACCATGTTGTAGCTCGGTGAGATTCGCTGCACGGAGTTCCTGCTCAACAATCGAGACAGGGGGTTCCCCAAACCTAGGAGTTAGGATGAGGGGGATCCCTGGGGAGCTAAACCCTGTCAATAAGGTCCCCGTTAAGAGAGCCAGAAGTAGGTTAAGAAGGGTCCCCTGTAAGGGGTCTCCCAACTACTGCCTAAACCCTCAACCCCAAATCAAGGCAGTTCATGCAAGATAGGGGCCTTAATGATTAGAGTACGTAGGGTTTTGGGTATATTCTACTAGAGTTAAGAAATCGGAGGCAGCAGGCCAAAGGAGCATTTCTAGATCCGAAAGTGGAATAGACGTGAACGGGCTAGGTGAGGTTTCGGCAGCGTACCAGCGATTTATTATTTGCGAAGTCACACACAAGGCTTGTGGAATTCCGAACGAAACAGCGGTCGAAAGACCGGGGTTACGAAATGCACCCGCAAAGGGTTCAATTACTAGTACCACAGGGTGTAGGGCCCTACTTTTCAGGGTCATTTGGCCCTTGGATATGGGACCATCCTCAACGCAAACCCCGAAAACCATAGTGTTCAGAGCCGTAAACCCTGAACCGGAAATCCCTGCTTAGGTTTCGGGGTTTCGGGGTTTATAGGGTTTAGGGTTTACCTATAGTCTCCATTGTAGTTCCTTTTTGGGTTTAACCACATATATGTTTAGGATCCTATAAGGTAACCCCCAAAAAGGAACTACAATGGAGACTATAGGTAGGGAGGATTTAGGGAAACACTACGAGTCTCCGGCTCTGCCTGGACATCGAATGCAAGAGTGCCAGACTTCGCTGCCACTGTGTGCCCTTGTCGAACGACATCCTTGGCTAAGGCTCAAGTCTACGGTCTTCAGTTTAAGTACTCCTTTCTGAATGCTGGAAATACCATACCAGCACCGCATAAGGCGTTGTGGGCTATTTTGAGCCAAAACGTCTAAGCAGTAAAGCCTAAAGCTCAAACCCAACGCTAGCCAGAATCACAGCCCCCAACAACCCTCAACCCTGAACCCTCAACCCTAAACCCTCAACCCTAAACTCTAAACCTAAACCCTAAACCTCAATTTGATCAAACCTCTCTGCCCTGGTGGCTCAAGCACTCCTTGTTCTGTCTCTTAGCCAGTGGGATGCCAGAAACATACGGTTTAGGGTTTAGGGTATTTAACAATGCCTTCATGGGGTTCCGATATGTTTCTATCCTTCTCTGTGCCTTTATACGACCATTCGGGAATTCGGCTCCCCTAAGCATGATAGAAATGGTCTTTTGGGACGTCATTCCAGAATGGTAGTATATCTGGGAGTTTCAAAAATTAGGGTACCTTATTTTGGGGGTCCTTATAATAAGGTTCCTATTATTTAGGGTACTATATTAGGGTCCCCTATTTTCGGAAACCCCCATCTGGATCCTCTGGGCTAGTAACAAGGAATGCGGAACCTCACGGCTAGTCTAGGGCAAACGCCTTCTGCAAGGGAGTCCGTCAACCTTACAACCATGTAAAACATAAACACTGAACTGTAACTCTAAGCCCCAACAGACGGAGCCCTGAACCCTCAACCGTATACACCCTATAAAACCGCGAGAGCCCTTGAGCAAACTCCTAAACCCTAAACCCTTTAAAGTGCCCGAAACGGGATCACTTGAGTTGCTCTCGAGGCTCATGGCAGCGTGGTAAGTCACAACATCCGGGCGCAGCTGTTTGTCCACCAGCGAATCCCAAAGGAACCTCGCTATCGGTTTAGGGTCAACCTGGACTCTGTAAAGCTTAGTTTTTTTAGGGTTTAGGGCAAGTTTAGGGTTTAGGGTTTTTAGGGCTCGTTATAGCAATTTACTTTTATAAGTCCTTAACAAAGTAGGCTATTTGGGTTTAGCGTTTAGGGTTTCGGGTTCAGACAGGTGGTTCAAGTTTTAGGGACCTACAAACTCAAAGAACCCCTAACAACGTAAAACCGTCCGGTGACATGTCGAGGGCAGTTCGAAAGGCTTCTAAATTGAAGTCCCCTGTTGTTCCCAAATATAGTACGGCACCCTTATAACTTTGGAGAACTACCCATTTAGTGGCCCATTGAAATATTGAGTTTGCCGCATATGCAGGGTCCTGGATCAAGCATCAGGCTCTAGGGTTTAGGGTATAGGGTTTAGGGTTCTGGGTTTAGTGCTTTAGGGTTGACGGTTTGGGGTTTAGGGTTCCTATCCGAAACTAGGAGCCCATCTTACCAGTTCCCTTTGGCTCTTAGGGCTCATATTTATAAGGCTTTCGAGCCCAAGGAGCATACGTTCAGAGGATTTTGGGCGATTTTGAGCCCTGCATAGGGGTTGTCCATGTCGCAAATAGCTTGCTGGGCTTGGGGCCTATAGGGTTTACTGAGTGAAAGCTCCGATTCACTGTAACCCGCTGTAAAAGTACATCCTGCCGGGATTCCTACTCCAATTGGGCACGGGTTAAAGCGTTCTTCCGGGATAGACAGAGCAAAGCTCAGATGGGTTGGGATAACCCTGGACCCTAAACATACCCTAAACCCTAAACCCTAAGCCTTAAGTGGGACATACAGAGCAGAGCTCAGATGGTTGGGATAGCCTTAGACCCTATGCCCTAAACCCAAAACCCAAAGCCCTAAACCCTAAACCCACAGCCTTTCGCTTCCTTTTTACCAATACACCAAGGAATGGCAAACAATTCGGACATTGGGCTTAGGCCTGGGAGGTGGTAATGTAGCAGCCTGGGGTTCCTGTTTGGTTTAGCGTTTAGCGTTTAGGGTTTAGGGTTTAGGGTTTAGGGTTTAGGGTTGAGGGTTGAGGGTTTAGGGTTTAGTTAAG